GACAAAAGCCCATCCAGTTCAACCATTAAAAACCAGTACAAGAGCATGACTCACAGTCCATAAAGAAGTGAAGAAGAGCGTTGGGACAGCTAAAGATCTGTTGGCCATGTTTGCTCTTCACAGTTTTCCATGAGTTTACCATAAGTATAATACTGCATGGAAGTGATAGTCATAGAGGAAAATCACTAGTCTTCCCAAAAAAGTTCCTATCCATTTGAGGTTTGCCAAAGACCATCTTGATAGTGATCATACTGTAGCATTGAATAAGCACCTCACAGTCCTTACCCTGAATCCTGGGGCTGGCTTATACAACATCCCAGCATACACATCCCTTAAACAAACAAAAAGGCAGTGTCATGTTAAGTAAAAAGAAATCATATTCTATACATACATTAGAAAAAAAAGATTGAATATTCTACTAGATGTGGAAAGCTTTATTTGTGGAAAAATCAAAATGCTGCCAAACACCATCAAATCCTCATGGCAACTGTAGAGTATGTTAAACGATAATGATGGTGTGTTGTTTGTGGTCATTAAGGGACCAACACATTGTAAAAAAGCTGTATCATGCAATATAACCAATTATCCAAACCACAGAAAAAAAATCAACATCAGGATAGCTCTAGCAAATAGATTCTGTACTTTAGAATGGCTAAGCGATAGTGCTGACCTCAACTGTGTGATGTGATCTGAAGCAGCCTGTTAAAGAAAGACATCTCAAAACCCCATGGGCTGAAATAGTTTTATGTATAGAAATAAGCTAATCGGATCATTTTAAAATATATGTAACACTATCCCTGCAGGAGCTGCTGGTAATAGCTGGTTCTTCCCTAGTAGTACAGAGGCTGCCCACCACCACAAGCATCGGTCCATGCACTATGGCTCCAAAAGCTCAGTCTAGAGCAGTGGTTCTCAACGTTCTTAATGCCGTGACCCTTTAATACAGTTCCTCATGTTGTGGTGACCCCCAACCATAAAATTATTTACCCAGTAATTATAATTCATGAGTGTCGTTTTACCTCCAATACTGCTGCTTTCAACACAGTAGCTGCTTTTATCAGAGTAGCTGATTTCAACACAGCAGCTGCTTTCTACACAGTAGCTGCTCTTTACACATCAGAAATATGTGTTTTCTGATGGTCTTAGGGGATCCCTGTGAAAGGGTCGTTCGACCCCCAAAGGGGTCGCGACCCACAGGTTGAGAACCACTGGTCTAGAGGATGTATTCTTGAAATGTATTGCTTTCAGAAGTTTAAACAGAAGAGGGGTTGGGGCATGGGATACTCCAAACTCTGCTCAGTAACAAGAAGACACTCTACCCAAGGCTCCCATTTCAAGATTCTGCTGAGGACAGGGGAATGGCCAGTACACTGAGACCCTGTGAGAGCCTTCTCAGCACAAGCTACCTCTGACACTTATATCCCAAAAGCACACACAGTCACCAGGAATCACTTCGGGGTCATTATTCCCAAGTCCCCAGGACTTGCACACCTTCCAGCTTCCTCCGGACATGGTCCAGTGAGGGAGACAATCCTTTTCCAGACCTGAACCCTATGTTGAAATCTCCTGGGTATAATCACTATGCCAACTTAAAATAGAGTTTTCGTACCACTAAACTATGATTAACTTATGAATCTGCAACGTCAGCAATAAACAGTGCATATAGGTGTAGAATAAAGTTGAAAAATTCTCCCTTTTAACATCAGAACCATCTTGGGAGACGGTACCCTTTTGCTCTGAAACTTGATTGCTTAACCCAGGACTTTTGGCAAGTACTCTACCTCTCTAAACTTCTTTCTGTTATCTCTCTGTTGTGTTATTGCTCTCCGTATTATTTATATATATATATATATATATATTATATATATATATATATTGGATGGATATATATTGGCTACATCTTTTTCTGTAAAATATTTTTATTGCACCATTCTGACCTTTTTAGTAATAAATCCTATTTTCTGCAAAGTGTTGAACTGTTTCTAAAGCTCTTTAATGCAAACTAAGAATCCCTGTCTCTGAAGAGTGCTACTGTGTGTTTTAAACTTCTGTATATCTCTGCCTGTGGTGACAGTGTGTATACAGATGATTATTCAAACATCATAGTGTTATTGCTAATATTGGCGAGTTTCCTCCTTTTCTCTACAAAAAGGCGGTGGTGGCAGTGTGAAGGGTTAATTGCGTAATTAACCTGACCCAGTAACAATCGCTCTCAGGCTGCAGGTACATAGATTGTGGTCCATTAGCTGGAAAATCTTTGTGCAGGGTGCAGCTGAGCGTGGCATTGTTACGCATGTGACAGCGCGGTTTTAGATTGGCTAGTCCTTTGGTCACGAGTTGGTGAGAAGGGCTGGGGGTCTGATGCCGCGATCGTCACAATAGGCATTAACTGAAATATGAATAATAATACTATATCTAGTCTAGAGTGCCCTCTGGGAGAATAGCTAGGATATGGTGCAATGTCCCTTGAGAAGTACCTCATAGCATAAGCAATAGGTGAACGTCTCTATGTAACAGCTGCAAAGACACAGTCATCAATCCTAACTCTTCAGTCAGCTAGCGTTGGGGCCCAGTTGTATTGTTGGTGCACATATGAATAGTTCCAGATGAGCCTGAAGGCAGCAATAAGACTGTGTGGTCAGCTACTAAGGACTCAGTCTTTATAACAGCAGATATTAAATTCCCAAAGCAGCAGCTCACCAGTCCCAGCGATAGCGCAGCTCTCCATCTGGTCATTTACAGTGATTAGTCCATTCTCTATTCGGCACCCAGGTGCTACTGGCTGTCAGGAAACCTTGACTCTGCATTCTGAATTCCACTCTGGCAGCAGTGGTGGTGCACACTGAACAGCAATGTGCACTCTTAGTCCTAGTTCACACTGCTGCGATGCGGGAAATGCAGCGAATCCTGTGCATTTTCATGCACTGCATTGCAATTACACGACATCCATGAGATCTGCTGCGAGTATCAATTTTAAGTTAATGACACCCCAAAACAGATTGCAGTGTTTACCAGAATCGAACTGCATGGGTGTGAACACCCATGTGATGCAGTTCAAGTGTGGAGAAAGGGTTCTGCGTCATTTTGGCATGGATTCAATGTGATTTGAGATATACAAAATGTATGGCTGAAATCACACCTCACAGACATCGCATGTGATGAGCGCAGGAATGCAGTGTGATTTTTGTGCGAATGACATGTGGCTTCTTACACCGCACTCGTGTGAACTCAGTCTTAAGGCTCCTTCATGGCAAGAGGAAGCTGTGTCCTCTACAGTCTTGAAATAATGCAGATCCCCCCCCTCCCCGGCAATCTTCCTCTGGGAAACACAGTTCAAAAGCTCCTGATTACATAGTAGAGTCTTTCTCCTTCGGACTACAGTTCCCACAGTGCAGTGCTGGCTGACTCAGTCTATTGAACTCTTGCTGCTAAGCAGCTTTCCCCTTCAGCTGGTATAGCTGTTAACCAGTTCAGCACCACAGGACAGCAGCTACAGAGAGCAGCTGCAGCCAGTGTTTCTCTTACTCCTTTCTTAGCCAAGCGCCTGGCCACACAATCATAAGAGAGCTGCATTCATTTGCGTCTATTATATCTGCTTAGAATTCAGCTTGAAGACTATTATAGTCGGTAACTGCTGATCCAGAATGAGGCATACCAAACACCTAATGACGTACCTTCTGTTTTATCCTCCAAGGCTAAGCCAAGAAATTAGAAAAACCCTCCGTGATCAGAACAGAAGTAGTCAGATTAAATTTTGGGATCAATCAACCTCAGCCGCTTTGAAATATAAAAGATATAAGCACCTTTTAATAATTCTGTCCTTTTCCTTAAACTCATTTATATTAATTTTATTATATATTCAAACACCACGAGCCGTACATTTTACTTACCCCGTGCACAAAAGCAACGCATTTTTTCTACTCATTAGCCGCAATGATTACGTTTCAGTGATTATATTTTGATTGGCTCAGTGTCGGCGTGAGATTTCGGTTGGTGCAAAGTCTTTGAAGTGTGAAGCTTGGCTGAGGTTCTTTATATAGAAAAAAAAGGTCACTTCTCCCATGGATACCTACCCTGCTCCATCACACCAACACTAAACCTAAAGTACAGAATGGGTCCGCAATACAGAAAGTACCAGCTAATTGGGTCATACAGTAACTGTTTTATTTAAAGACCAATACCGACCCTTATTAATACCCTCTCATTACAAAGACCCCAATTCAAAAGCATGGAAGAAAAAACGGCATGAGTCAAACAATTTCATCGGTATGTGTGAGTGATGGCTGGACTTTGAAGTATATGTATAATAAAACAATTTTTTTTAGTTTTGAACAGAGTAGCAAAGGGTTAGAAACTCTGTAAAGGTTTTTATTGCTTCTGGGAGATTTGCTCTCTCTAATTGTCCTGCTGACCATTGCACCAAGAAGGAAAATGATGGGAAACCCAGAATTTTACAGTTGTCATCAACACAAGAGGTTCTGTAAAATCTTGCAATGGGGACACCCGTTGGGTGACAACAGGAAAATTCCTTGCACTTTGCAGAGATTTCCTCTTGTTTCCTGTTGCATTTGCAGGATGGGACAACACAAAATGGCAGATATTTCAAACCTTCCCTACTCTTCCCTACTCTATCAAATACCAATTGAGATGAATATAATAATAGTATTATTTCTGCTATTTTAAATGGCAGCTTCTTGCTGTCAATGGTTGTTAAGGACACTGGATGGTGCAGGCACCACCGAGTCCTTAACAACCAGTGACATCACCAGCCCTATTAACTTACATGGCTTCACAGAAGGTTGCCAACTGTGCATGAATGGCCCCGTAGTTTTCTGGGACCTGTCATGTGTTCCACCAGACTACGGGGGGAGGGAGGGAGGGAGGTACCATGTCCTCAGTCTCTGGTCTTCTCCTGTACTATGTCTTCAGTCCCTGGTCATCATCTCCTGTACTATGGCTGCAGTCTCTGGTCCTCTTCTGGTCATCTCCTGTACTATGTCCGCAGTCTCTGGTCATCATCTCCTGTACTATGTCTGCAGTTTCTGGTCATCTCCTCTACCGTGTCTGCTGGTCTCTGGTCATCTCCTGTACCATGTCTGCAGTCCTCTCTGGTCATCTCCTGTACTGTGTCCGCAGTCTCTGGTCATCTGCCCTGTACTGTATATGTCCGCAGTCTCTGGTCATCTCCTGTACTATGTCCGCAGTCTCTGGTCATCTCCTGTACTGTGTCCCGCAGTCTCTGGTCATCTCCTGTGTACTGTGTCTGCAGTCTCTGGTCATCTTCTAGTCATCTCCTGTAGTATGTCTGCAGTCTCTGGTCATCTCCTGTAGTACATCTGCAGTCTCTGGTTATCTCCTGTAGTATGTCCGCAGTTTCCGGTCATCTCTTGTAGTATGTCCCCGGTCTCTTGTCATCTCCTCTACTATGTCCACAGTCTCTGGTCATCTCCTGTAGTACATTCACAGTCTCTGGTTATTTCCTGTACTATATCTGCAGTCCATTTGTTCAGAATATTTTTCTCTTGTTTTCCTCCTCTAAAAACTAGGTGCGTCTTATGGTCAGGTGCGTCTTATAAAGCAAAAAATACGGTAAATGAGGACCAGGATGGCTAAAAAAAATGTAGGGTTTCCCCCTAACTTTCACCAGGCCCTTCCAGATTTTGATAAGCCTCCTGTCTGCAGACCCCAGCAACCACTGGGCCAAAGTTGTGGGAAAGAGGCCTTTGTCCTTATCAACAAGATACCCCCACATGCTGAAGGCATGGGGCCTGGCATGGTTCTGAGAGTGCGCATGCTTGTCCCCCCCTTTCCTGGCAGCATGCTAAGATAAAGGACTGGTATGGACGTCGAGTGGGAACCCCTTGCAAAAATCAAGGGAAAAAGCATGTGGACCCCCACCCCAAAATCCATTCCAATCCCTTATCTGAGCATGCTGCCTGGGAGGCCAGGAAAGGGGGGAGCAAGCATGCGCACCCCCGAACCATAGGTGGTCACGTGCCTTTAGCATAGGGGGATACCTTGTTGATAAGGACAAAGGCCTCTTCCCCACAACCCTGGCCCAGTGTTTGTTGGGGTCTGGGGGCTGGAGGTGTTTTGGAATCTGGAATCCCTGTTTAACAATAAGGGGACTCCCAGATACCAGGCCCCCTATGAATGAGTAATGGGTATGTAAAGAATAAAAAAGAATCACACATACACAGTTTTTGGCAAGTCCCTTAATACAAAAACAAAAGAATTGTCCCGAGATTTACATCTGTCGTCAATTATGTCATCTGGTGACGTGGAGATCCATGTCAGTCATGATGCCTGCTGAAAGAAAAAAATTCTGCCCACCAACGCACATCTGGACCCATCACTTAAAGTGATACTAAAGCTATAAATGTTTTTTACCTTAATGTATTCCTTGCATTAAGGTAAAAAACGTTTTCTATTTCTCTGCCCCCCTTCCCTTTGCGAAGGGGAAAAGAGGGGAGAATAGATCCAGCATTGTGCATGGCTTCATCTATTCTTCCCTCTCTTCCTCTTCACACAGAACTCGAGCAGCCAATCAAATACAGTGAGAAGGAATTAGGGGGCAGGGCTAAGTCCCACTGTGTAAGTCTATGGAGAGTGGCTCCATAGACACACAGATCGGGAGCACGCGGACGCTGTATGCCTCCATAGAAAGCGGCTTGCTATGGGGACACATGAAGAAGAGGAGGAGCCAGGATCATCGCCAGGGGGACCAGAGAAGAGGAGGGACACTCTGTGCAATACGATTGCACAGAGCAGGTGAGTATAACATGTTTGTTAGTTAATTTTAAAAAAGTTTGACTTTAGTAACACTTTAACTACCGCTGAATGACAGGTCCAGCAGATGACAGCTCATACCTGGGGTCTCCTGGGTGACATCATTACCCAACTATGGACATGACCATATTTGATCAATGTTGGCATGTGCATCCCAGTAAGTTTAATGGGGTCACGCATCCTAAACACTTTAATGGGGTCACTCATCCTAAACACTTTAATGGGGTCACTCATCGTAAACCAGCTATTCATGGTGTTGCTGAGAAGGAAAACCAAGCAGGCAAATAATATAACATTATAAATGAGATACCCGCCTCCCGCTACATTTTTTTTGTTCTCCAAAAGTATGGCAGAATTCTTCCTGCAATGTTATATGTTCTCTCAGAGATCAATTATTAATCAATATGTTGACAGGGAATAACAAATATAGCTCTAGGACAGCTCATGCTGCAGACAGAGAAGGTTATGTGTGGCCAAGTTGACCAGACGCAACCACAGATAATTCCAAGCCTACTCCTGACAATAAATTCCTGTTGTGTAAAATCTCATATGATATGCACTGTATTTAACAGCATATAGCATAGTTACTATGACACATTTGTATTTGCAAGATAGAACGTATAGTACGTTCTAGAACGTTAGTATAGTAGTTCTAGAACGTTTTGTATATTTGTGTATAGCCTTTCTTGTTTACTATAGCAAGGGTAAAAAAAATTTTTTTTTGTCAAGTAACTATGAAATAGCGCATATATTTTGTATTTTCATATAAACCTAGGGCTCTTTTCTGAAAATTAGCACCAGGGTATTACCCTCAAGATCGCCTCACAAAGAGGGTTGATGGACACAAAGGCCACAATGTGGAGGCTGCTCAGTAGCAGCAGAAAAGACAGTAGCCAGGTCCAGGCAGGTGGCATGCAAGAATAGTAAGGTCCAGCCAGAGATTGAGGAAGGCAGCAGGTAAGGGAGTAGTCAGGATCAGGCAAAGATCGAGGCAGGTGTCAGGCAAGAGAGTAGTCAAGTCCAGGCAGAGGTCAAAGCAAGCAGCAGGCATGAGAGTAGTCAGGTCCAGGCAGAGGTTGGGGCAGGCAGCAGGTAAGAGAGAAATAAGGTCCAAACAGAATACGAGGTTGGCAACAGGCACAAGAGTAGACAGATCCAGGCAGAGGTTGGGGCAGGCAGCAGGTAAGAGAGTAGTAAGGTCCAGACAAAATACGAGGCTGGTAGCAGGAACAAGAGTAGACAGGTCCAGGCAGAGGTTGAGACAGGTGGGAGGCACGAGGGTAATCAGGTCCAGGCAGAGGTCGAGGTGTGTGGCTGGCAAGGGAGTAGTCAGGTCCAGACTTAGGTCGAGGCAGGTGGCAGGCAAGAGAGTATTCAGGTCCAGGGAGAGGTTGGGGCAGGCAGCAGGCATAAGAGTAGACAGGTCCAGGCAGGGGTTGAGGCAGGTGAGAGGCACGAAAGTAGTCAGGTCCAGATACAGGTCGAGGCAGGTGGCAGGCAAGAGAGTGGTCAGGTCGAGGCAGGTGGCAGGCAATAGAGTAGTCAGGTCTAGGCAGAGGTCAAGGCAAGGGGCTGGTGAAATGCAAGAGAGTAGTGGCTCAGTATCTGCCACCCCTCTCTGCCAATCCCTCCACTGGCTTCTGATTGCCCAGTGAATTGAATTCAAAATACTAACAGCAGCATACAAAGCTATTCACAGCTCTGCCCTGAGCTACATCACCAATCTTGTCTGCAAATATCACCCAAACCGTCCTCTCCACTCCTCTCATAATCTCTTGCTTTCAAGCTCCCTTGTCTCCTCCTCCCATGCTCATTTCCGGGAATTCACCAGATCCTCTCCTATCCTCTGGAACTTTCTACCTCAATCTCTCCGGCTATCCCCTACTCTGGCTGCCTTTTAGGCTATCCCTGAAAACTCATCTCTTCAGGGAAGCCTATCACGCCTTCAAATAGACATTTACAGTATCACTTCCATCAGCTCATCCCCCACAGTTATAACCCTTGCCCCACTCTATGAGATTGTAAGCTCTTATAAGCAGGGTCCTCTTCATCCTCTTGTTTTTTATTGTATTGTAACTGTACTGTCTCCCTTTATATTGTAAAGTGCTGTGCAAACTGTTCTTGCTATATAAATCCTGTATAATAATAATATTAGTCAAGTCCATGCAGCGGTTGAGGCAGGTGACAGGCAAAACAATATTCAGGTCCAGTCAGAGGTTGAAGCAGGCAGCAGGCAGCAGGCAAGAGAGCAGGTTAGAAATCTGAGTCAACAACAGGCAAACAACAGCAGACTCGGTATTATACGCTCTAGCGTAGCTGGTGATAAGACACAGCACCAACCAGTTCAAAGGCTCATTCTTAAAGTGGAGTTCCAACCCCATTCCCCCCCGCCAAAAAAAATTAAAAGTCAGCAGCTGCTGAATTTTAATATTAGGGTACTTACCTGTCCAGAGATCCAGCAGTGTCCTCACCCCGAGCTGATTCTTCAATCGGCTTTCAGGTGCTGGTGCCGCCATCTTGACTAAGGGAAACCGGAAGTGAAGCCTTGTGGCATTACAGCCAGTTTCCTACTGTGCATGCAGTAGAAAACCGGAAGCTGAACTGTCAAAACCAGGTACCTGCTCCCCCCTCCCTCCCAAAAGGTGCCAAATGTGGCAGTGGAAGAGGGAAGGAGACAGATGAGCAGATCTTCCACTTTTGGGTGGAACTCCGCTTTAAATACCCTTCTGGTCAAAGAACAAGCCCAGCGGTAACTATGCATGATTATGTGAGCTGATATATGTACATACAGGTACCCTAGAAAACCTGGGAATCTGGGAAAGCCTTGAGGTCTTGGGAATTCTAAAAAGCCTGGAGGACCTGGGACTCATGAATTTACTGGAAGTGTAAGTACTGCCACAGCCAGGTATCCTTGCGTCACTACAACGCACCAGTGTTACACCCTCTTGCCCAGGGGTATAAACTGGTGGCCCTCCAGCTGTTGCGAAACTACAAGTCCGATCATACCACTGCCTTTGGGAGTCATGCTTTTAACTGTCAATCTTCCAATGCCTCATGGGACTTGTAGTTTGGTAACAGCTGGAGGGCCACCAGTTTGACACCCATGCTCTAGCCTGTTGTCAGGGGATCACTACAGCAACTTGCAGGGGGCATAGCTGTTGCATCCAGTGATTATGAAACAGAAGCACACAGGAGGGTGACAACACCAGCACAGCATATGTAGCCAATGACTAAAGTAGTCACCCTACCAAGAAGCACACAGGCATGGCAGAAACAATAGGTATATTCTAAAACTTTACTAAAATCAGTATAAAAAACGTTCACTACTATGATTATCAAGCACAGAGTTAGCTTGTAAAGAAATTAAGAGGAGCCCCAGTCTACTGCAAAAAATTTAAAGTCAGCAGCCAAAAATCCTGTAGCTGCTGACTTTTAACATAAGCACACTTACCTGTCCAGGGATCCGGTGCTGTCCTTACCTGAGCTGATTCTTCAATCGGATTGGGGTCCGGGCACCGACATCTTAAATAAGGGAAAGGGCAGTGAAGCCTTGTGGTCTCCCACTGAGCATGTACGAGGAGCGCTACGCTTTGTGAATGGTCCCGCAATCTTCTGGGGCCTGTGACATATCCCAGAAGGCTGCGGGTAAAAGGGGGGGGGGGGTGATCCAACTGGAAGTGGGAGCAGGTACCTGTTAAAACCAGGTACAA